AAGCTTAAGGTTAAACCTAAAAGTAACCTTAACCTTAACCTTAACCTTAACCTTAACCCTAAACTTAACCGTAACCTTAAATAACAGCCAACATATGCTTAAATAAACCTTAAGTTTACACGAAAAGTTAACTTTAACCTTAAATAATAGTCAACATATGCTTGAATAAAGCTTAAGGTTAAACGAAAAAGTAACCTTAACCTTAACCTTAACCTTAACCTTAACCTTAACCCTAAACTTAACCGTAACCTTAAATAATAGCCAACATATGCTTAAATAAACCTTAAGGTTACACGAAAAGTTAACTTTAACCTTAAATAATAGCCGACATATGCTTGAACAAAGCTTAAGGTTAAACGAAAAAGTAACCTTAACCTTAACCTTAACCTTAACCTTAACCGTAACTTTAAATAATAGCCAACATATCCTTCAATGAAACCTAAGGTTAAACTAAAAATTAGAATTAAAATTGACCTCAACCATAACCCTAACAACATAACTCCTACATGTACCTATCTCGATAACGATCAGTCATACCGTCACCTTAGACAGCCTTGAGTATTCCCCACGGCTACTACTGTTATGATATATACAACGTATCTTTAAATAATGCTTAAGGTTAAACGAAAAATTAACCTTAACCTTAACCTTAACCTTAACCTTAACCTTAACCCTAAACTTAACCGTAACCTTAAATAACAGCCAACATATGCTTAAATAAACCTTAAGTTTACACGAAAAGTTAACTTTAACTTTAAATAATAGTCAACATATGCTTGAATAAAGCTTAAGGTTAAACGAAAAAGTAACCTTAACCTTAACCTTAACCTTAACCTTAACCTTAACCTTAACCTTAACCCTAAACTTAACCGTAACCTTAAATAATAGCCAACATATGCTTGAATAAAGCTTAAGGTTAAACGAAAAGTTAACTTTAACCTTAAATAATAGTCAACATATGCTTGAATAAAGCTTAAGGTTAAACGAAAAAGTAACCTTAACCTTAACCTTAACCTTAACCTTAACCTTAAACTTAACCGTAACCTTAAATAATAGCCAACATATGCTTAAATAAACCTTAAGGTTACACGAAAAGTTAACTTTAACCTTAAATAATAGCCGACATATGCTTGAATAAAGCTTAAGGTTAAACGAAAAAGTAACCTTAACCTTAACCTTAACCTTAACCTTAACCTCAACCATAACCCTAACAACATAACTCCTACATGTACCTATCTCGATAACGATCAGTCATACCGTCACCTTAGACAGCCTTGAGTATTCCCCACGGCTACCACTGTTATGATATATCCAACGTATCTTTAAATAATGCTTAAGGTTAAACGAAAAATTAACCTTAACCTTAACCTTAACCTTAACCTTAACCTTAACCTTAACCCTAAACTTAACCGTAACCTTAAATAACAGCCAACATATGCTTAAATAAACCTTAAGTTTACACGAAAAGTTAACTTTAACCTTAAATAATAGTCAACATATGCTTGAATAAAGCTTAAGGTTAAACGAAAAAGTAACCTTAACCTTAACCTTAACCTTAACCTTAACCTTAACCTTAACCCTAAACTTAACCGTAACCTTAAATAATAGCCAACATATGCTTGAATAAAGCTTAAGGTTAAACGAAAAAGTAACCTTAACCTTAACCTTAACCTTAACCTTAACCTTAACCTTAACCCTAAACTTAACCGTAACCTTAAATAATAGCCAACATATGCTTAAATAAACCTTAAGGTTACACGAAAAGTTAACTTTAACCTTAAATAATAGCCGACATATGCTTGAACAAAGCTTAAGGTTAAACGAAAAAGTAACCTTAACCTTAACCTTAACCTTAACCTTAACCGTAACTTTAAATAATAGCCAACATATCCTTCAATGAAACCTAAGGTTAAACTAAAAATTAGAATTAAAATTGACCTCAACCATAACCCTAACAACATAACTCCTACATGTACCTATCTCGATAACGATCAGTCATACCGTCACCTTAGACAGCCTTGAGTATTCCCCACGGCTACCACTGTTATGATATATCCAACGTATCTTTAAATAATGCTTAAGGTTAAACGAAAAATTAACCTTAACCTTAACCTTAACCTTAACCTTAACCTTAACCTTAACCTTAACCTTAACCCTAAACTTAACCGTAACCTTAAATAACAGCCAACATATGCTTAAATAAACCTTAAGTTTACACGAAAAGTTAACTTTAACCTTAAATAATAGTCAACATATGCTTGAACAAAGCTTAAGGTTAAACGAAAAAGTAACCTTAACCTTAACCTTAACCTTAACCTTAACCTTAACCTTAACCTTAACCCTAAACTTAACCGTAACCTTAAATAACAGCCAACATATGCTTAAATAAACCTTAAGTTTACACGAAAAGTTAACTTTAACCTTAAATAATAGTCAACATATGCTTGAATAAAGCTTAAGGTTAAACGAAAAAGTAACCTTAACCTTAACCTTAACCTTAACCTTAACCCTAAACTTAACCGTGACCTTAAATAATAGCCAACATATGCTTAAATAAACCTTAAGGTTACACGAAAAGTTAACTTTAACCTTAAATAATAGCCGACATATGCTTGAATAAAGCTTAAGGTTAAACGAAAAAGTAACCTTAACCTTAACCTTAACCTTAACCTTAACCTTAACCTTAACCCTAAACTTAACCGTAACCTTAAATAATAGCCAACATATGCTTAAATAAACCTTAAGGTTACACGAAAAGTTAACTTTAACCTTAAATAATAGCCGACATATGCTTGAACAAAGCTTAAGGTTAAACGAAAAAGTAACCTTAACCTTAACCTTAACCTTAACCTTAACCGTAACTTTAAATAATAGCCAACATATCCTTCAATGAAACCTAAGGTTAAACTAAAAATTAGAATTAAAATTGACCTCAACCATAACCCTAACAACATAACTCCTACATGTACCTATCTCGATAACGATCAGTCATACCGTCACCTTAGACAGCCTTGAGTATTCCCCACGGCTACCACTGTTATGATATATCCAACGTATCTTTAAATAATGCTTAAGGTTAAACGAAAAATTAACCTTAACCTTAACCTTAACCTTAACCTTAACCTTAACCCTAAACTTAACCGTAACCTTAAATAACAGCCAACATATGCTTAAATAAACCTTAAGTTTACACGAAAAGTTAACTTTAACCTTAAATAATAGTCAACATATGCTTGAATAAAGCTTAAGGTTAAACGAAAAAGTAACCTTAACCTTAACCTTAACCTTAACCTTAACCTTAACCTTAACCTTAACCCTAAACTTAACCGTAACCTTAAATAATAGCCAACATATGCTTAAATAAACCTTAAGTTTACACGAAAAGTTAACTTTAACCTTAAATAATAGTCAACATATGCTTGAATAAAGCTTAAGGTTAAACGAAAAAGTAACCTTAACCTTAACCTTAACCTTAACCTTAACCTTAACCCTAAACTTAACCGTAACCTTAAATAATAGCCAACAAATGCTTAAAGAAACCTTAAGTTTACACGAAAAGTTAACTTTAACCTTAAATAATAGCCAACATATGCTTGAATAAAGCTTAAGGTTAAACGAAAAAGTAACCTTAACCTTAACCTTAACCTTAACCTTGACTTTAACCTTAACCCTAAACTTAACCGTAACCTTAAACAATAGCCAACAGATGCTTAAATAAACCTTAAGTTTACACGAAAAGTTAACTTTAACCTTAAATAATAGTCAACATATGCTTGAATAAAGCTGAAGGTTAAACGAAAAAGTAACCTTAACCTTAACCTTAACCTTAACCTTAACCCTAAACTTAACCGTAACCTTAAATAATAGCCAACATATGCTTGAATAAACCTTAAGGTTACACGAAAAGTTAACTTTAACCTTAAATAATAGCCAACATATGCTTGAATAAAGCTTAAGGTTAAACGAAAAAGTAACCTCAACCTTAACCTTAACCTTAACCTTAACCGTAACTTTAAATAATAGCCAACATATCCTTCAATAAAACATAAGGTTAAACTAAAAATTAGAATTAAAATTGACCTCAACCATAACCCTAACTCCTAATTCCTACATGTACCTATCTCGATAACAACAGTCATACCGTCACCTTAGACAACCTTGAGTATTCCTCACGGCTACCACTGTTATGATATATCCAACTTATCTTTAAATAATGCTTAAGGTTATACGAAAAATTGACCTTAATTTAACCTTAACCTTAACCTTAACCTTAACCTTATCTTTAACCTTGAATAATAGCCAACATATGCTTAAATATACCTTAAGGTTACACGAAAAAATAACCTTAACCTTAACCTTTACCTTAACCTTAAATAATAGCCATCATATGCTTGAATAAAACTTAAGGTAAAACGAAGAATTAACCTTTACGTTAACCTTAACCCTAACGCTAACCTTAACCGTAATCTTATATAACAGCCAACACTTGCTTAAATGAAGCTTCAGGTTAAATCAAAAATGAACCTTAACCTTAAATTTAATCTTAACACTAAACTGAACCGTAACTTTAAATACAAGCCAACATATCCTCAAATAAAACATAAGGTTAAACTGAATAATAGAATTATAATTGACCCTAGCCTAAACACTAATATGTAACTACAACCTATCTTGATTGCAATCAGTCATACCGTCGTCCAAGACAATTTTTAAATCAAACTTAAGGTTAAACGAAAACTTAACCTCAACACCTGCACATGCTGATATCCAAAAGTATATTAGCCTATCCCCAACAATGACATTCTTTGACTGTGACGTTTACCTTCGCCCTATCGATGAATCCATATTGTCATAATATCTTAATAAGAAAATTAATTTTATGAAGACATGAGTTATTAATGTTATGTCAAATCAAACCGATCTGTAATAAAAGACAACCAAATATTTTACTATAAACTATTGCTTTATGCTTCTTGAAATATCACAAATATATGTTAAACTTTATATGCCAGATCTTTTATTTACTACCAAATGTGTCACGTGTCTCTTTTGTTTGACTTCATTGAGCATCATAACACTGATTCTCATCAATGTAGCATTCATTTAAGTCAGATATTCGAACAATAAATGGTTCTTATGATTTCATCAAACGATGGTATTTTGATTTAAATGCGGAAAAAGAACGGTCTGCAATACGTCTGGATGTACATGCGGCCTTATAACGCATATATGCATCTTTCTCAGATTGTATTTTCAAAGATATAATAAAGTCTAGGATCTCAATTTCGTTACTACTCCATTTCATAGTTAGTCCGGCTGGTAAATGTCGTCTTCCGTCTTTCGTTATGTTCTCATGTTCGATTTTGGGAGGTTCTTCTGTACTAGAGTCATCTGAGTCATCCTTGTTTTCTGTGGATATTCTATTATCATCGTCTGTTAAATCGTCTTCTGATGAAACTGTGCTAATCTTAGTTACTGGTTCTGGTATAGATAATTCTAAAGATGAATGCAATCTAAAAATATGCAATCTATGAATTGAATTAAGCCTAAATCTGGAAAGAATTTCACGACTTTGAAGGACCGACTCGATTTTTGGAATGATAGTTAATATTCTATTGTGAAGCTTTGAGAACTTACAATAATGAACATACCAACGATTTTGTAAAAGTCCTATACACGAAAGATATGATATTACCTGTAATAACACATCGTTTGTTGCAGAATAATCGGAGAGTTTTTCAAGTATGCTGCACATCCATGGAAACGTAAAATTTTCCTGTACTGACAAATATTCTCTAAACTTTGACATATGCACTAAACCTTCGTTTTCAAGAAACCAAATAACATCTGTTGAGAACTGACTTGCTTTAGCTAACACAGAGTTTTCATTGCTATACCCTGTTATTCGTACAACTCCGTTGTTAGGCCAGTGCATTTTGCTATTGTTTGCTCTATCAGTAAACCGAACATCCGGAAAGTAATTGAGTTTAAAATGATTAAATCCAATCTCTAAAACATCAACAGGTTTCATTTGCAGCATTTCGATGAATTCAATAGCTCGCCAAAAAACAAATGGTGGTTTATAGATTTTCTTTCTACAAAGTCTTCCACACAAATTATGTACAGTTATTTGTCCGGCTAGAACAGCCCAACATGGAAGGTCCTGTGTTCTTAGATCCGATAAAAGTGAGCGATCACATTTGGCTATACGGCTAGGATCTGTCTGTAAATCGTGTATCAAAAGAATCACTGACCGAATACCAACAGCTATTATACCGCCATCCATCACACCGGAAAAATTTACAATTTTTTTAATGCTTTGCTTTTGGCATTCATTTAAAGCCCAAAATGTGAGAGGTGGCAAGGAACATTCATCAAATGCGCAGGCTGTAGCATCATCAAGGCATAAAAAGCCTTGTTCCCAAGTCGAACAACGACTTGGAAAACAACCTCCTGGTCCTAAGTTTATTCCAAAATTATTATCTGCTGCACTGTTAGGTCGACCTTTAAATAATATTTCACATGCAAGCTCGTACTGGTAACATTTCCAAACGTTTAAAAATCCACCCATTTTACAATTTTTGGCATAAAGATCCCTTAGAGATTCTAATAAATATGTTCCTACCATGCGAATAGATTTTGTGAAGCTAAAGTCTTCCTTGTATAAGTCATTAATAATTGGAACAATGATTGGATACTTTGTTAACAGGACTGATAGTGCACTTTTTGATATATAGCTTTCAGCACATAGCACATTCTCTTTTTTGGTTTCACACACTATTTCAAGCCTTGCGTTTGATATTCCTAATTTTAGTATATTTTCCTGTATTGACGTTAAATAATCAGATGCTCTGTTTTCAAGAGCTTTTTGAATATTACCATGTAATACACCACACGAAGCGATACATCCGAAGACGGGATGGATAGAAGATGAACTCATATGTGGCAAATCGGCATACATTTGCAAAAACCGCAATGTCTCAGGGCATGTGCACAACTGTCTTAAATCTCTAGAAATGTCAATACTTCTGCCGTCTAAATTTGTCTGGAAATTACAACAGGAGCGAAAACTTAGTGACGAATATAAAGATCCACGATCACCAATTATGTCCTGTATACCGCTTCGTGACCAAAACAGGTTTTGGTTCAAAATTGGGGATGACAATGTTACGGCCGCATGTATCGTTGTTGATGCGTTTGCAGTATCATATTCCGTAATTTTCATAGCATTGCTATTTCTGTCCCCAAAACGGTGGGCTATGATGATGAATTCAAAATTTTCGTCACGAGGTAGAGAGTTTTCCGTTTGGCATAAGAGATTTAAGACAAATTCCCTGTCATCTGGTAGGACATGCCAGGTTCTTATATCAATTATCTTGTTTTTCTTGAATGTATTTCTTGTAATATCTTGTTCTGGCAAAGCTTTGCATTTATTTGCTAATGATGTCCTAAAAGATTCGTAAAATTCAAATTGCAAGTTTTCGATTTGTTGGCGGCTGTAATTCTTAAATAATCTCATTGGTCCGGGTTTTGGTAACAAAGTAATCAAAAACTGAAAACCGTGGTCGCCTACAATTTGTATTCCTTGGGTCCATCTTAAGTATTGTAAAGCTTTTTTATTGTATACTTCCAGTTTTAAGTGTTTTCGTAATATATTGAATACTGGCATCATACTGTTTCTTCCACGCGGTAGTATATTCAAATAAGAAAACGGAACAAGGATGTCTTTCAAAGAGGAAAAAGTTGCGACAATACCATCTAAATCATATTTTTGATTCAACCAAAGTCGTTGCGCACACGCTGTAATTTGACAATCACGTAGAGTAAGATTTGAGTCTCGTTTTAATATTTCGCTAGGGGAAAAGTTTGATCCTAAACACAGTTCATATACAGAATCGGCGTTTTCAAGTCCAGTTTGAATTAAAAGTCCATTCAAATTAGATTCCATCTTCCATTCACTAAAGAAAAGAACATGACATATAACATTATTGTTAGATGAAAGGTACACACAAAGTAGTTAGCAACAGTCAGTAACAATACTTAATGCATTTAAAGTGCCTAGTTTGGCTTTTTAATGATAACACATCGTCTAGACATACATTTGGTGTTCAACGTTTGCTTCTTTTTCTACAACTGGTACTAACTGTTAAAGACTGACATTGATTACTGCAAATGGCAAACACATATTTTCTTGTGACATTTTTATTTTAACTGATTAAAGTTTTTTGGGGGATTTTCTACATAAAAATATTAACTGACTAAAAGTTTTACAGAGCTGTTACTTATACATGTTGACGGTCAAACTATATTTGAAAACGATATGACAGGTAATTTTATAAAATTTCCAAATGTCATTAATTTGTTTTTTTGTTTTTTTTTAAAGGAAATTAAACAATTGTTAGTGTTTGAAATATAACAAATATTGTACCACAATATATCAAAGTTGAAATAATGTCAGGACTGAAAATATGTGTTCGTTATTTGTCTGAATCACATCACAATCTTAAAGGAAAATAACTGAACACATGTCACTCGTTTGTTTTATTTAATCAGGACATTAAGCGCAAAGCACTGTTTGAAAAATTTTCATCAAGCTAGTGTTCTTCTCGAATAATTTATACATTTAGTTAGCAGATGAATTTGCTCTATGCCTCCGAGGCCTATTTGTATTCTAAATTTTGAAATTTGCACCCTAATGTCAATTTTAGCTTAATTCATAATCTAAAGTAATAAGAAAGGATTAGACCATAAGCATCACATTTTATTTTAAATAATGAACAATAGGCTAAATAATGTCCTAAATGAACATTTCTTTAAGTTGTAACTTATTCAAGGGGAGTAAATTTCATATTGAAGAATGTGGTTACAATTAGTTTGGACAAATTGCTATGAGTTTCTTTGTTTTTCTGTTTGTTTGTTTGTTTGTTTTGGTTTGTTTTTTTGGTTTGACCTGTCATGTAATGTTGACATTTTAATGTTTTATTTAACATTGCCATAAAAGCGGAAAGTTCGGCTAGCCACAAAACCAGGTTCAATCCACCTTTTTTTTCTTTAAATAACCTGTACCAAGTCAGGAAAATGGTCATTGTTATATTGTGGTTCGTTTCTGTGTGTGTTACTTTTTAGTGTTGTGTTTCTGTTGTGTTGTAGTTCTCCTCTTATATTTGATGTGGGTCCCTTAGTTTTAGTTTGTAACTCGGATTTGTTTAATTTTTCGCATTCGATTTATGAATTTCGAATAGCGGTATACCTTAAACGTATTAAACATTTTTTAGAATGTTAGGTCCTCAGTGTCTTAAACTTTCTACTTTATATTTGACCTTTCAATGATGTTGATTTGAGTGTTTCTGATGAGTCTTATTACGTCAGTCGTAATATAAATCTAATCCTAGTACATGTATTGACAGTACCGAACTCCGATGCAAACTCAAAAAGAGAAAAGCTCGACTATCTCAACCAAAGGAAGCACTAATTAATAACTGTCATTAATCATGTCAACAACCATTCCCTCATCGATGATGTCTTTTGAACTTAAATAATTGTTAGCAATTTCTATAATTAAGTTGTGTCATAGATTGTTTTTCCAACTAAATTGCATTATTTCTGATTATCAATTTGATTGTAGATTAAACAACATTTAAACACAGTCACGGTGATAATTCTTTAATATTTACTCATAATATTGGAAAGGTCACCACTCTTTAACTGCACAATAACAATATTTCAAAAATGAAAATAAACTCGAAAGCAAGGCAGAACAATACAAATATAACAATTCACTTCAAGAAATAGTATGCAGTTAAAACAATATTTTAGTTATTTTTGATATAAAGTAAATGGAGAAATACATTTCGGACAATATTTTTGACATAATAAAATGTAAGATTGCTGAAGTTCAACACGATTTTCAAACAAACAATAATATGGAAAAAATTGAATCATGCACACTTTAAAATGAATAATGTTTTATTGTTATCTCCTGATCAACAGTTTTATTGTAGATTAAACAACATTAAAACACAGAAACAGTGAGAATTCCTTAATATTTAATCATAATATTTGAAAAGTCACCACTCTCTAACTGCACAATAACAATTTTTCAAAATTGACAATAAACTCGTAAGCAAGGCAGAACAATACAAATATTACAATTCAAATAGAACGTTATTGTTATCAACCAAATAATAAAAGAAAGGAATTTATAAGTAGACGATCTGTAATTCACTTTAGGGTTTGCTTGTGAAGATTGTCTATTTTAGTGCAAACTCTCACAAAGGTATGGGTTGCCTCAATCCATAGACCTCTCTGAATCCCTTCCTTATAAACCTTAAGTTTAAAATCTTGGGCCCTTGAAAAGTCAGGTAGATCGATTCTACTTTCTAGAAACTCTAGGCCCGCTGGATTGCTCTTTTTCCAGGACCATCTTAACAATAACTTTTTTTTTGTTTTTTTCACTCCCTCATCAACTGCTCTCTTTTGTGATGTATCTTCAGCATGTTCAGTGATCAGGTTTGTTGACATCGAAACAGGGGTGGACATGATAGTCATCGGTTCGTCCACTGACTCATCAATATCGAATGAGTTGGTTGGCATGAAAGCTAATGTACCGCTGGTGATAATGTCTTCAATTATTTTTGGTATCCCAGCAGTAATATCGTTAAATTTACGATCTATATCTGTCACTTTTTTTTCCAATTCCTGTATCTTTCTTTTGCTGCCCTTGCTTTCTGTTTCGATTTGTGAAATGGTTGTTTCCATCGAGTTGACAGTTGCTGTTAAATCATTAAATCCAGTATCACAACCCTGTGCATTCCTGTTAACCTCCTTCTTTACTTCATCGAGGTGGGCTCTTAGTTCCCCAATTGCATTATTACTATACTGTTTTCTGAATTCTGTTAACTCCTTGTGTATGTTGTTTTCTGATTTTTGTATCTCATACTTAACTAGGCAATCAATAGCCTCAAGGGTTACACCTAGAAATAAATAGACGCAAAGTGTGTTACAATAGGCCAGAAGAGCTTCCTTGATCTTATATGATAACTAGAACTGTAAGCAAAAATTACTAGATATAACCCCGCTGTTCTTACAAGTACCTACTTAACAAGTAGTTGTTCTCAATGGACGATGACATTATATTATGCTAAATGGCCAAATTTCAACGGCCTGGAGTAACATTGTTCATGAACATCTATATCTGATGATATAATATTATATATCAACTTCCACATGTATATAACAAACAAAGACTAAGGAGTTACAATGATGAAGTACATACTCGATAGAGTAAAACAATTTAAGGACAGAGGTCCATACCCCATGGAAAACTCAATTGACAAGAACGTCCTACATTCATGCACACCTGAATATGTGAATCTAGCAATATACATACTTACATGTATATTTAACAAACCATGTCAGATACGTTGCTATGACAAGCATAGGGTCAACATTTCGATATCCAAAGGGCTATAACTCATGTAATAATATACCAGATCATCCTAAATATAGCGATTTTAACACATAACGGTTAGTGGGACAAGGGACAGACAGACGGACATACAATGTAAAACGTATAGAACTACATGTACATTAGAACGTGCGAATATAACAATGTACAAACTTTTATGTGTATCCAATAAGACTAGTCAGAGGAGTAGCGATGGCATATTTCATCATGGATAGTGTCAAAATTGCAATGTTTAAAAAGGCCATTACTCATGGAAACTCAATGAACCGGAACATTCCATCAACATGTACATATGAATATATGTATCTAACAATATACCCACATGCATGTGTATCCAACAAACCGTGTCAGATGAGTTGCGATGACAAGCTGTCTACTTCAAAAGGGTCCACATTTCTTAGTCCGAAGGGCCATAACTGAAGAAGAACTCAATATACCGGAACATCCTACCTATAGTGATTTCAACACATCATGGTCAGTTATAAATATTTTCGAAGTCTGGACATAAGACATTGGAATTGGTCCGGATAATGTGACAGACAGGCGGACAGACAATGTAAAACCTATACAACCCTGTAACCTTGTTTGAGTGTGGGAATAACTAAGATCATGTGAGTCTGTATGACTTACCTGAAATAATCTATTCTTTTGGAGATTGTGATGATGCTCAATATTTTTTTTATGCGTGGACGGGTCGGAACCATTTTGATTTAAAATAAGTGGTTCTGCTAGCTTTTGGGTGTTTTTTTTTAAAGTAACAGCACCCACCATCGATCAAGGAGGATTTTGCAAGACATCTTTTTGAAAGGGAACATATGTAGACCATTCACTCAAAGTTTAGATTGAACCGGGTGATACCAAGTTGCTCAAGACAAACATATCTTCAAATATAGTGATTTACTATATGCTAATATTTGAATGGTTCTACACTAGTCATCTTTTTGGTGGGGTCAGGAGGGGATTTCTATATGCTAATGTTTGAATGGTTTTTCACTAGTCATCTTTTTTGGTGGGATCAGGAGGGGATTTCTATATGCTAATGTTTGAATGGTTTTACACTAGTCATCTTTTTGGTGGGGTCAGGAGGGGATTTCTATATGCTAAGGTTTGAATAGTTTTACACTAGTCATCTTTTTTGGTGGAGTCAGGAGGGAGATTTCTATATGCTAATGTTTGAATGGTTTTACACTAGTCATCTTTTTTGGTAGAGTCAGCTTGCTCTACGGTGTGAGTCAAGGCTCCGTGTTGAAGACCGTGAGTTAAACTGTAATGGTTTACTTTTACAAATTGTGACTTGGATGGAGATTTGTCTCATTGGCACTCATACGATATCTGCTTATATCTATGATATTCTAGTTTTTGCCCCGCTCGTGTAAATGCACTCGACTCCTATCTTAAATAACAAGGATTGCTAGTTTACCTAACAAAGTTAGATGGTTTTTCCCCGAGCACTCCGGCTTTCTCCGCTAATAAAAACTGGCAGCCAGGAAACAGCCAAAATGCGATGCTTAAAAGTGGCGTTAAAACACCACAAATCAAATCAAAACATTATGATCAGCTGTAATGCACCTAGTAACAAACGTTAATGTGTACTAATTACTTCCGTTAATTGAAACAATTTCGAGATTGCAAGTGTTCTTTTTTTCTGTAGGACATACACTGTATTAGAAAAAAATCCACTTCTTCTTTTTAAGACAACTGCACACGATAAAATAATTTCAAAGGTCAAGGCAAAGAACATAATTTGATGACCAAGGTCAAGGTAATAAAGTTGTAATAAGAGAAAGAGATAAAAATGGTTTGAGGCTTACCTTCCTCTAGATCTTCAGGGTCACTCTCTGCTACGTGCTAAAATAAAAATTTAAACTGTATAGTTTGAAAATAAAATCATTCTAACTAATTCAATTTCAATAAAACTGAATAATATACACATAGTAGACATGTGAAGACATGATTCACACTAATAAGTGGTTTCATCTTTGAATGGCAATTGTAAAATATACAGATACAACAAGTGACGATATTTGACAATTTTAAACATCAAAAACATGACCAAACACAAACAAGTTGGAGCAAACACAAACACGAATATGGGCATAACAACAACACCTTAACTAATCTCTGTAAAGCACAAACTCATCAATCGCATTGTAATATATATATATACAAGTCTAAATTAAAAACTACGTTCAAACCTATGAAAAACCGCCGATTTTATACGTGAGCATATAAAACAAATTTCGTTGTAGGAGGGTCTAAATACAGCACAAACTACCTAAAATTTACATTAATGAAACTTTCGGTGGCCGGGTGTTACCTTTCCTCGTAATTTTTTATCTAGCTTCGTAACACAGTACACGATATATAAGGCATAAGGATGTAATTTTTACAGATCAGCTTAATCATCTGTCTTACAGGAATTTACTAACTAATGTTTGATGCAGTCATAAAAATAGTTCTATTATAAGAACGTTTGAACCAGAAACAACTTGTGCAAACATATTATATATATACAGTTGAGTTCTAGCCAAACTCTCACGGTTCTATCTGGTTACTTTTAGTGTGTTTGAAGAAGTGGTACCATTAATGCATTCTGTATTTGTTATATTTCTTATCAGTTTTGTAAAACTAAAAAGGCAGTATAGTATTACTGACATACCTCAGTTTCTCTGCTTCTGTCATTTGTGATATCCATATTCTGGAAAAAAAATGATAGAATTCATATCATCGACGAAAAGCTACTGTTCTTTTCAATGTAGATATCAAATTAGATTGTTTGCGGTATAAAGCAAAAATTTAGAATAAATAAAGTAAGGAACAAAAGTTGCATATTTTTTTCAACATTTAATTCCAAATTATCTTACTTATCACTCCCCCCCTCTCCAGTTTTAGTTGGTTACGTGTTTCTTAGTTTTTAATTATTCATGCTGTGTCGTGTGTATTATTATTATTATTTGTCTGTTTGTTGTTGTTTTTTTTTTTTTCGTTTTTTGCCATGGTGTTGCCAGTTTATTTTCGGTCTTTGAGTTTGAATTTCTCTTTGGCATAGTTCGGCCCTCTTCAATTGGTCTGTCGATACAGAGCACAAACAGAAAAATTCCCCTTCTGTTTAATTATAGATATGAATTGTATCAAGTAGCTTAATTTCTTTTTTTATTCTAAGACAATTCATAGGGTTCAGCCTATTGAAAGCATAAAACATACAATATAAAAAAGTAGATGTGGTATTAATACCAATGAAACAACTCTCCACAAGAGACCAAAATAACACCGAAATTAACAGTTATAGGTAACTGCAGGGCCTTCAACAATGAGTAAAGCCCATACCGCATAGTCAGCTATAAAAGGCCCCGTAATGACAATGTAAAACAATTCAATCGAGAAAACTAACGGCTTAATTTATATAAAAAAAATGAACGAAAAACAAATATGTAACACATAAACGACAACCACTGAATTACAGGCTCCTGACTTAGGACAGGCACATACATACAAGTTTGTTTTCGCAGTGAAAAGAAAGATAGACAAAGGCAGACCAATAATCAACTAGTATCATCTGTTTGATATTTTTTTTTATTTTAGACTTACCACTGGTCTCTCTTCTTCTATATTTCCTTCCTATATAAACCAAAGAGAACGAGTAAATCAAAAGACGAATGAAAATTGTCACTTAATGTCACAAGTAATTATTTAGTTAATGATGTAATAAAGATCATCAATAAACAGACCTATTTCCAACTAGTATCATCAGTTTGATACCTTTTAATTTCAGACTCTAAGTTTACATGTGCATGCCATATTAGGCTAAATGTTACTATGCTATCGTAATCAACGTTACTTAGCCGCGTAGACAAAGGCATCTATCAAATAGTTCCGATCTACGACGCTTTAAAGGTTTTTGATTTGTTAATGTATCCATATAGAATAAAACATCAGGTCTCCATGCTGTCGTTGACACTTGAATCGAAGTGTGGTTACACCGTGAGGTTGCCACATGAACCAAGGCAGACCGACGACCAAACAGTCCCCGTCTGCGACCCGAAATTTGATGCTACATGATATTCTGTTTTCTTTTTATATTCTTATAATAATAAGAATCTGTTTTCTATGTAGTAGTTGATATATTAATAAAGTGATATGGGGTAAAAACCAAAGAGACAACCACAAACTCCTCGTGAAAATACTTGAATGGTGAGCACCAACACAGAAACTGGAGATATAGGCTAAATGATTGCTCGTCAAATAGGTCTTTTTATTTTTTTACTTTACAATTGTTTTTGCACGAAAACGTCACAAAAAAAACCCTGTCTTACATCTTTCAATAAAGTTATGGAAATGAAAATGAATTGTTCTAATTAACCATTGTACTCAAATAGCACAAACGTTACTTACCACTAAATTTGGAAAATACGTCTTAACCCTCTAAATTCTAAAACCGGAATGAAATGTATATTATTCAGCATATGGGAAATGCTACTCTTTTATTGTCGTTGATATGATTTTTTTGCAATTTTTTTTGATAGTTTGACTATTGTCTTTTCAGAAGTATTTAACTTTTTCTTTGCAATTTAGCAACAACACAAACACTGGAAAAATAAAAGTTAAATTATCGTCTTTAAAATTTGGTAATTTTATTCTTCACTTTTAACAATCATTTTTGCAATAAACGTAGATATATACATGCTTTACAATTTTGTTAGTAAATTTACTCAAATGAGAATGAACAAATCTTGTTTAACTGTTGTATAAAGTTTTTTACATATTTTTTACTAATAATTAAATGTGACTTACCACTGGACTCTCTTCTTCTGTGTTTCCCTCCTGTAAAAATCCAAGTGAGACGAATAAAGGTAATTTTTTAGTCAATGTTGTAATAAAGATCACCAATACCTTTCGAAAAAGAAGTAAACAGAAAATACGATCAAATACTTTGAATGTCTACACTGGAATGACAATTTAAGCATTGAGCCTATGGGAGGTACTTCTATATTATCGTCGTTGATATGATTTTTTGCATTTTTCTATCGGCTGACCCTTTATCTTTTGAGAAGTATATAACTTTTTTTCTTTGCAAATAAGCAACGACACAGATACTGGGGAAATATAAGTTCAATGGTTGCTCTTCATAATTGGTTAAATTTATTCTTCACTTTTAACAATCATGTTTTGCAAAAAACGTAAATAAAAATATGCTTTATACTTTTTTAGTAAATTTGCTGAAATGAGAATGACATTGTTTTTTAACTGACGTATAATGTTATTAACACATTTGTTTCCAATAATTAAATGTGACTTACCACTGGTCTCTCTTCTTCTATGTTTCCTTCCTGTATAAATCCAAGAGAACGATTTAATCAAAAGACGAATAAAAATTGTCACTAATTGTCACAAGTAATTATTTTGTCGATGATGTAATAAAGATCATCAATTACTTTTGAAAAAGAAGTAAACAGACCTATTACCAACTAGTATCATCAGTTTGATACCTTTTAATTTCAGACTCTAAGTTTACATGTGCATACAATATTAGGCTTAATGTTACTATGCTATCGTAAACAACGTTACTTAGCCTCGTGGACAAAGGCATCTATCAAATTGTTCCGATCTACGACGCTTTAAAGGTTTTTGATTTGTTTATGTATTCATATAGAATAAAACATCAGGTCTCCATGCTGTCGTTGACACTTGAATCGAAGTGTGGTTACACCGTGAGGTTGCCACATGAACCAAGGCAGACCGACGACCAAACAGTCCCCGTCTGCGACCCGAAATTTGATGCTACATGATATTCTGTTTTCTTTTTATATTCTTATAATAATAAGAATCTGTTTTCTATGTAGTAGTTGATATATTAATAAAGTGATATGGGGTAAAAACCAAAGAGACAACCACAAACTCCTCGTGAAAATACTTGAATGGTGAGCACCAACACAGAAACTGGAGATATAGGCTAAATGATTGCTCGTCAAATAGGTCTTTTTATTTTTTTACTTTACAATTGTTTTTGCACGAAAACGTCACAAAAAAAACCCTGTCTTACATCTTTCAATAAAGTTATGGAAATGAAAATGAATTGTTCTTATTAACCATTGTACTCAAATAGCAAAAACGTTACTTACCACTAAATTTGGAAAATACGTCTTAACCCTCTAAATTCTAAAACCGGAATGAAATGTATATTATTCAGCATATGGGAAATGCTACTCTTTTATTGTCGTTGATATGATTTTTTTGCAATTTTTTTTGATAGTTTGACTATTGTCTTTTCAGAAGTATATAACTTTTTCTTCGCAATTTAGCAACAACACAAACACTGGGAAATAAAAGTTAAATTATCGTCTTTAAAATTTGTTAACTTTATTCTTCACTTTTAACAATCATTTTTGCAATAAACGTAGATATATACATGCTTTACAATTTTGTTAGTAAATTTACTCAAATGAGAATGAACAAATCTTGTTTAACTGTTGTATAAAGTTTTTTACATATTTTTTACTAATAATTAAATGTGACTTACCACTGGACTCTCTTCTTCTGTGTTTCTTTCCTGTAAAAATCCAAGTGAGACGAATAACGGTAATTTTTTAGTCAATGTTGTAATAAAGATCACCAATACCTTTCGAAAAAAAAGTAAACAGAAAATACGTCCAAATACTTTGAATGTCTACACTGGAATTACAATTTAAGCATTGAGCCTATGGGAGGTACTACTATATTATCGTCGTTGATATGATTTATTGCATTTTTCTATCGGCTGACCCTTTATCTTTTGAGAAGTATATAACTTTTTTTCTTTGCAAATAAGCAACAACACAGATACTGGGGAAATATAAGTTCAATGGTTGCTCTTCATAATTGGTTAAATTTATTCTTTACTAATATGCTTTACAATTGTTTAGTAAATTTACTGAAATGAGAATGACATTGTTTTTTAACTGACGTATAATGTTGTTAACACATTTGTTTCCAATAATTAAATGTGACTTACCACTGGTCTCTCTTCTTCTATTTTTCCTTCCTGTATAAATCCAAGAGAACGATTTAATCAAAAGACGAATACAAATTGTCACTAAATGTCACAAGTAATTATTTTTTCAATGTTTTCATGAATACCTTTTGAAAAAGAAGCAAACCGAAAATTCGTCCAAACACTTGTAATTCCTACAATGGAATGAACATTTCAACATTGAGCCTATGGGAGGTACTACTATATTATCGTTGTTGATATGATTTTTCGCAATTTTAAAAAGGCAAATCTTTTTAGAAGTTTATACCTTTCTTTGTCTTTGCAATTTATCAACAACACAGAAATTATGGATAATAGTAAAATGATTGCTTTTCAAAATTCAATCATGTTTGCACAAAAATCCTTTCTAATTCGTAGGTAAAGGACAAGGTCAATACAGACGAACTTGTTTGGCCCCAAAATACAGCAGTTTTACAAAATACATTTAGCTATGTATTGGAAAGTAGAATACCTTTGTTTTATAAGTGTTGTCTGTTTTGGACAAAGCAAACACACATGTATCGGGTACAAGCATGATAGAGTCCTATATAAAGTCATATATACTGCATCTGTGCTAATTGCATTGACCGTATATTCAAATGTGCCTCGCTCTCTACCTGTTTCTAAACTTGCACAAATAACATTGATATTTTGAGACAATGCATGGTTATTCTATATATACAATTACTGAAATCTTCAAAATTTTAGCATCGTTGTTAATTTCTTAACGGTTTCAGTCTAAAAGATGAGTTGTCGCATTAGTGCTCATTCTTAATAATTTAATGTAATTTGTATTTTATGATGATATATAACATATATATATAGGTGAAGAAGGAAAACGGATGCGGCTACTGTCATTTTTGACAAAACACATCTGAAAAGTGACATATTATGGCATATTTGATACTTTTTCTTTATTTTATCTTATTTGAGCGTCTTGAATGACAAAATCAGTTCTAATCTTCCACAAAAACTAATATAATCGACTAACGTAGGTACTTAAGTGTTTTAAATGTGTCCAACCTCTTTCATCCGATGTAGCTGAACTTTTTGGCCAAAATCGTACCTTACCGGATATACTCCTTTAATGAAATGAAAAAAAGTTTGAAATGTTCGTATTTTGTCTTATAGTTAAATGTTACTAACCACTTGTCTTCCTTCTTTTTTATTTCCTTCCTGTATATATCAAACAGAAAAACTAAATCAAAAGACGAATACAAAATTGTCACTTAAGGCTGTATTGGAGTCTAAAGCAAGAACGATAGAATTTGTTCATACTTTGCCTGGCGTAGTATATATTGATATATTTTCAAAAATATAATAAAAAAGATGGGTCACCGTGTATTCTCTCAATCTACAGGAAGTGACAAAATGACACATTTTGTACGGATTATACAGGAAAAAAACATCATTATGTGATTAGAAGTTAAACTAAATAATAGAATTGTAAAAAAAATACGAAAAGATGGAATTGCGTTTAGAATATCAAAAGAAAAAGATAGGACCACCGTGCGTTTTTTCCAGCTAAAATGCAAAATAGCAAAATTAAGTGTAGATTCCTTCACAAAATGCACTATTTCAGAGTTTATACATCCCCTTAACATGCCAAAATAAAAACATTAGAAATGAAGCAAAAAATATTAAAATTTATAAGTTATAATCTTATTAATTTGTTCTTTTAGGTGCAAATCAATATTAGTTCCATCATCAAATTTTGCTAACTTGATTCAAATCTGGACCTTAGATTCTCTGTTGTTTACAATCCGAAATGGCAAAGACACCCCCAAACCATTTCAATGTCACAGATAATTATTTAATCAATGTATTACACAAATCACTTATACCTTATGAAAAAGAAAAGAAAAAAAAAGTCAGCATAAACTATTAAAAATTCGAATAGACGTAACATTTGAATTAAATTATCAATAAAGGTATACTACCACGCGCAAGGCCTTCATTCACTATCGACTGCATGTAGACAAAAGACGAAAATAAAAGCCAAACATATTCTTGAATATAACTTAAGGTTAAACGAAAAATTGACGTTAACCTTAACCTTAACCGTAATTTTAACTCTTATATAAACCGTAACTTTAAATAATAGCCAACATATCCTTCAATGAAAATTAAGGTTAAACAAAACATTTGATTCAAAATTGACCTTTACTTTAAACCTAACATCTACCTCCAATATGTACCTATCTCGATAACGGTCAGTCATAACTTCATCTTAGACAACCTTGAGTATTCCCCACGGCTACCACTTTTATGATATAGCCAACGTATTTTTGAACGTAAAATTAACCATAACCTTAACCTTGACCTTAACCTTAACCGTTACCTAAAAAAATAGCCAACATATGCTTGAATAAAGCTTAAGGTTACACGAAGAAATAACATTACCCTTAAACTTGTCCTTAACCTTAACCCTTACCATAACCTTTACCTTAAATAATAGCCAACATATGTTTAAATACACATTAAAGTGACACGAAAAAATAACCTTAACCTTCAGTAATAGCCAACATACGCTGCAATAAAGCTTAAGGTTAAACGAAAAATAAACCTTAACCTTAAACTTAACCCTAAAATTGACCGTTACATAAAATAATAGCCAATATATCCATCAATAGAATATAAGGTTAAACTAAAAATTAGACTTAACCTTAACCTCAACTATAAACCTAATATTTAACTCCTACATGTACCTATCTCGATAACGATCAGTCATACCTTCATCTTAGACAACCTTGATTATTCCCCACGGCTACCACTGTTATGATATAGCTAACGTATTTTTGACTGAAAAATTAACCATAACCTTAACCTTGACCTTTACCTTAACCGTTACCTAAAGAAATAGCCAGCATTTGCTTGAATAAAGCTTCAGGTTACACGAAGAAATAATCTTAACCTTAAATTTGTCCTTAACCTTTACCCTAACATTAACCCTAACCTTAAATAATAGCCAACATATGCTTAAATACACATTGAAGTGACACGAAAAAATAACCTTAACCTTAACCTTATCCTTCAATAATAGCCAACATACGCTGAAATAAAGCTTAAGGTTAAACGAAAAATAAAACTTAGTCTTAACCTTAACCCGTAAATTGACCGTTACTTAAAATAATAGCCAATATATCCTTCAATGGAATATAAAGTTAAACTAAAAATTAGACTTAACCTTAACATCAACTATAAACCTAATATTTAACTCCTACATGTACATATCTCGATAACGATCAGTCATACCTTCATCTTAGACAACCTTGAGTATTCCCCACTGTTATGATATAGTCAACGTATCTTTAAATTATGCTTAAGGATAAACGAAAAATTAACTTTAACCTTAATCTTTACCTTAACCTTAACCTTAAGATCAACCTTAACTTTAACCTTAACCTAACAAAATAGCCAACATATGCTTGAATAAAGCTTAAGGTTACCAGAAAAAATAACCTTAACCTTAACCTCAACTTTAAATGATAGCCATCATATGCTTGAATAAAACTTAAGGTTAAACGAAAAATAAACCTTAACCTTAACCTTAACTCAACTTTAACAGTACCCTTAACCCAAACATTAACCGTAATTTATCCTACAATACAAAATATGGTTAAACTTTAGACTTAAAATTGACCTCAACTGTAAACCTAACATCTAACTTCTACATGTACCTATCTCAATAACGATCAGTCATACCGTCACTTTAGACAACCTTGAGCATTCCCCACGGTTACCACTATTATGATAGAGTCAACGTATCTTAAAATAATGCTTAAGGTGAAACGAAAAATTAACATTAACCTAAACCCTAACCGTAACTTAAAATAATAGCCAACATATGCCTAAATAAATCTTAAGGTTACACTAAAAAAATAATCTCAACCTTAACCTTAACCCTAACCTTAAATAATAGCCAGCATATGCTTGAATAAAGCTTCAGGTTAAACGCGAATTTAACCTTAACCTTAACCATAACACTAACCTTAACCGTCACTTTAACTTTAAATAAAAGCCAACACATCCTTTAATAAACCTTTAGTTCAACTAAAAATTTGAATGAAAATTGACGTTAACTATCAACTCCTCAATGTACCTATCTAGATAATGATCAGACATACCGTCACCTTGGACAACCTTGAGTATTCCCTCACGGCTAGAACTGTTATGATATAGCCAACGTATATTTAAATAATGCTTATGGTTAAACAAAAAATGAACCTAAACCTTAACCTTAACCTTAACCTTAACCTTAAGAAAAAGAAAACATATGCTTAAATAAACATTGAGGTTACACTAAAAATAATCTTAACCTTAACCTTGACCTTAAATAATAGCAAACATATGCTTCAATAAAGCTTCAGGTTAAACGTAAAATTAATCTTAACTTTAACCTTAACCTTCACTTTAACCTTAAACCAAACCTTAACCCTAACCTTACATGATAGCCGACATATCCCTCAATAGAACACAAGGTTAAACTAAAATTTAGAGTTAAAATTGACCTCAACTATTAACCTAACATCTAACTCCTACATTGAACTTTCTCGATAACGATCCGACATACGGTCGACCTACCATCAATCTTATTCAAAAAACGTCATCAATCTTATTCAAAAAACCTTTCTTCTTTAAATAAACATGTCAAAAGTCATGTTCTGTATACCTTAACCCACGCAAGGCCTACATTCACTATCGACTGCATGTAGACAAAAGATGATTTGAACTATATGTAAACACAGATTATCAATGTGAATGTAAGTGTGTTTAGTTTACGTGTGAAATACACATATAAAAGAACAGAGTTTAGGTCAATGTGAGCACATCCTTAGGTTTTAGTTTTCTATGTTGTTTCTTGTGTACTATTATTTGTCTGTTTGACCTTTTCCTTTATAGTCATGGCATTGTCAGTTGTTGTTTTCTTCGATCTGTTAATCTGACTGTCTCTCTGGTATATTTCGCCTCTCTTTTAATGTTAATTGTCATTCTTTTTTTAATAATGAAATGTTACTTACCACTGGTCTTTCTTCCCCTGTATTTCCTTCCTGTATAAATCCAAGAGAAAGATTTATTCAAAAGAGGGGATAAATGTCACTAAATGTCACAAGGTAGCATTAATTCAATATCATCATGATACTAACTGATAATTTTCGAATAAGAAGTAACGGAAATACGTCCAAACACTCTGAGTTCTCAAACTGGAATGAAAAGGTTAACCTTGAGTTTATAGGATGTACTACAAGGGTATCGTCGTTGATATGAAGTTTTTTTCAAGTTTATATTGGCTGACCCTTATGTCTTCATAAGCATATTTATTTTTTCTTTGCAATTTACAAATTACAAAGAAACTGGGAATCAAGCTAAATGGTTGCTCTTTAGATGGGTGTAATTTATTCTTTACTTTTTACAATAATTTTTGCGCGAAAAAAAAATTGTCTTTCTTTTTTTCAGCTAGATTAATGGAAATGACGTTTAATGTTAATATTATTTTTATCTAAAATAAAAGTCAAAGTTACTCACCACTTGTCTTTCTTCTTCGGTATGTCCCTTCTGTATAAAAGAGAAATATTAAATCAAAATAGGAATGCAAATTATCCATAGATGTCGCAAGTTAGTACTAAGTCAATGTTATTATGAAAATCACTAAAACCTTTCATGAAAGAAGTAATTGAAAATACGTCCAAGCATTATGAATTCTCAAACTGGAATGACATTTTTAACATTGAGCCTAAAATAGGAACTACTATATTATCGTAGTTGGTATGTTTTTTTTTGCAATTTTTATCGGCTGACCTTTATTTCTTTTCAGAAGTATACGATTCTGTTTTTTTTTATTCAAAATATAGCAACAATACAGAAACTGGGGATATAAGTTAAATGATTGCTCTTCAACATTGATTTGATTTATTCTTTACTTTTAACAATATTTTTTACCCTAAACTTAAATAAAAACATGCTTTACAAATTGAGGCAAATCTACAGAAATTAAAATAAGGTTTTTTTTTTAACTGACGTTTACTATTATTTCCTGTTTCTTTTGATAATAGCAAGTTACTAACAGCAACAACAAAAGACTGGCGATGTAGACTAAATGGTGGCTCTTCAATTAAGGTTTAATTTATTCTTTACTTTTAACAATCATGTTTGCACAAAAACGCCAGAAAAGGACAAGTCTTACAATTTTAAGCAAATTTCGGCAATTGACAATGTAAGGGTCTTTTAGAACTGGTGTTTAATGTTGATACCCGTAATTTTTTTATATATATTAAAACGTTATTTACCACTGGTCTTTCTTCTTCTGTATTCCCTTTCTGTATAAATCCAAGAGGAATATATAATCAAAATACGAATAAAAATGTTTACTTAATATGAGGAGTTATAACATTAAAATCACTACTGTCTTCCGAAAAAGAAGGAACAGAAATGCGTCCAAACAATCTGAATTCTCAATCTATAATGAAAAGTTTAACATTTAGCCTACGAGAGGAGCTACAGTTTCGTCATGGTTGGTGTAAGTTTTTTTTTTCAATTTTTGATAGGCTGACCTTTTAAGTCTTTACAAATGTTTTACTTTTTTTCTTTGCAATTTGGCAACAACTAAAACAAAGCTGGAGATATAAGCTTAACAATTATTTTTGCACGAAAACACAGAAAAAGACATGGCTTACAACTTTTTGCAAGCTGACGGTTTAGAAAAAAAATGTTTTTGAACTGACGTTTAATTATATTTACATATTGTTTTAATAATAGCATAACATTACTTACCACAGGTCTTATTTCATCTGTTTTTCCTTCCTGTATAAAACCAAGAGGAATATGTATTCAAAAGACGCACCAAATAATTTCACACAAGTTATTATCAAGTCAATGTTTTCATGAAGATCAGTAATACCTTTCGAACGAGAAGTAACAGAAAATACGTCCAAGCACTCTGAATTTCAAAACTAGAATGAACTGCATAACATTGAGCCTATGGGAGGTACTACTAATTTATCGTCGTTGATATGACATGCTAGCCAGTTTTTTATCGGCCTACCTGTTATATCTTCAGAAGTATCTAATGGGAATTTCAGCTAACACATCATTGACATTATAAGCCATTTATTTAAAGATTTATGGTTATAAACAGTTATTAATTGTGGAGATTGATAAATTCAAACACAATTTATAATTTTTGGAGGTTGTAAAACTTGAACAAAGTAGGAAGTTTCTTCTGATTACATCAGTGTCGATAAAAGTTTAATCCTATAAAGTTTAAGAAGTAATAATCATTTGATTTACAACCAATCAGTTTTAAACTTAATTAAATTAGGTTATATATTTCAATCCCGGACAGTTCTAAAACGGTGTTTCTTTCGCGATTTTATTTTATTATTTTCCGAAAATACTATGCAAAATAAATGAAATGAGCCGTTCCTGAAAATTTTGGTGTAACATTTTTCAATTATTAAAGTTTTGTATCCTTATAATCTTAAAACTCATTTCAAAAAAAATATCTTAATTGACACTATTAAAATAACAAATTACAAGTATAATTGCTGCATTTACTTCAATAAAATAAGATATATTTGTAATTTTAAACAATGCGAACAACATTTTTTATATTTTTTTCTGATATTCTTTAACCGTATTTAAAAATAAATAGTCATTAACTTCATTAAGTACAACAATACAATGGTGATCAATGATTTTGATTAAAATAAAGAAATAATTGCATTCTTATTTAACAAAAACAAAAGTTTATGCATATGTATCCTTCAATTGTTTTCATTTTATTCAAAATTAATTATCAAAAGACATTTATAAAGAATGATTGCAATTGAGCATATTTTATGAAAAAAAAAAAACAATCCTGAAGTACAAATAAAAACTGAAACCTTATGTTGGCTTCTGATTTGTATTAACAATAACTGCATTCTTGTTCCACTGAAACAAAATTTTAAGTATTTAAATTCTGATTATATTTTAATTCTAAAGAAAGACTTATATTGAAGCCTTAAAAAATATTCGTACAAATAAAAAAACCTTCATCTTTTATCAAAAGAAGAATAATTTTGCTAAATCTAAACAAAGCAAACAACATTTAAGTATATTTTCTCTGATAATCTTTTAATTTTATGGGAAAAAAACCTAAACAATAAAAAATACAAACATCCAATGGCAGTTAATAATTTCCATTAACATGAAACAAATCATTGTATTCTTGTTCAACAAAAACAAAACTTTATGCATATCTATCCTTCAAAAATTAACATTTTATACAAAATAACGTATGAAAAGGCATGTTAAACGACTCATTGCAATTGAGGTTGCATTATTTGAATTATAAAAGAAATATTTGCATTTCAGGCAATGCGTACAACAATTTAGTATCATTTCTCTAAGATTCAGCCTATTCAATGGAAAACAACCAATCCTGATGTGCAAAAAGTACTGAAATCTTATGGTATTTTATAATTTTTATTAAAATAAAGCAATAACTGAATTCTTTTTCAACAAAAACCAAACCTTAAGTATTTTAATTATGATTATATCTAAATTCTTTAAGCGACTTATATAAAGGCTTTTGAAATAACTAATTCCAAATAATAAAGCATAATTTTTTGTTCAAAATTTACACAATGCAAACAACATTTTAGTATATTTTCTCTGATATTCTTTTAATTTTATGAAAAAACAACCAATCCTAAACAAAATAAAGTGCAAAAATCCAATAGTGGTCAATAGTTTTTCATGAAAATAAAGAAGTGATTGCATTCTTGTTCAACAAAAACAAAAGTTTAAGCATAACTATCATTCCAAAATTAACATTTTATACAAAAAATAATAAAAGGTATATTAAAGGCTGATTGCAATTAAAATTGCATTATTTTTAAAATTAGAAGAAATATTTGCATTTTAGGCAACGCATAAAAAAATTTAGTATCTTTTCCCTTAAATTCAGCCTATTTAATGAAAAACAACCAATCCTGATGTGCAAAAAGTATTTAAATCTTATGGCAGTTTATAATGTGTATTAAAATAAAGCAATAACTGCATTGTTTTTCAGCAAAAACAAAACTTTGAGTATTTTAATTCTGATGAGATCTAAATTCTTAAAGAAGACTTATATGAAGGCTTTTAGAATAACTAATTCCAAATAAAATAGCATCTTTTTTTATCAAAAGAAGACTAATTTTAGTAAATTTGAACAATGCAAACAACATTTAAGTATATTTTCTCTGATATTCTTTTAATTTTATGAAAAATCAACCAATCCTTAACAATATAAAGTACAAAAATCCAATGGTGGTCAATAGTTTCCATGAAAATGAAAAAATGATTGCATTCTTGTTCAACAAAAACAAAAGTTTAAGCATATCTATCCTTCAAAAATTCACATTTTATTCAAAATAACTTATCAAAAGGCATATTTAAAGGCTGATTGCAATTAAAGTTGCATTATTTGAAAAATGAGAAGAAGTATTTGCATTCAAGGCAACACGTACAAAAATTTAGTGTCTTTTCCCTTAAATTCAGCCTATTTAATGAAAAACAACCAATCCTGATGTTCAAAAAGTACTGAAATCTTATGGCAGTTTATAATGTGTATTAAAATAAAGCAATAACTACATTCTTTTTCAAAAAAAACCAAACTTTGAGTATTTTAATTCTGATGAGATCTAAGTTCTTACATAAGACTTATATGAAGGCTTTTGAAATAACTAATTCCAAATAAAAAAGCATAATTTTTTATCAAAAGAAGAATAGTTTTGGTAAATTTGAACAATGCAAGCAATATTTTAGTATATTTTCTCTGATATTCTTTAAATTTTATGAAAAATTAACCAATCCTAAACAATATATAGTACAAAAATCCAATGGTGGTCAATAGTTTCAATGAAAATGAAGAAATGATTGCATTCTTGTTCAACAAAAACAAAAATTTAAGCATATCTATCCTTCAAAAAATAACATTTTATTCAAAATAACTAAAACTTATCAACAGGCATATTTAAAGGCTGATTGCAATTAAAGTTGCATAATTTGAAAAATGAGAAGAAATATTTGCATTTTAGGCAACGCGTACACAAATTTAGTGTCTTTTCCCTTAAAAACAGCCTATTTAATGAAAAACAATCAATCCTGATGTTCAAAAAGTACTGAAATCTTATGGCAGTTTATAATAAGTATTTAAATAAAGCAATAACTGCATTCTTTTTCAACAAAAACCAAACTTTGAGTATTTTAATTCTGATGAGATCTAAGTTCTTAAAGAAGACTTATATGAAGGCTTTTAAAATAACCAATTCCAAATAAAATAGCATCATTTTTTATCAAAAGAAGAATAGTTTTGGTAAATTTGAACAATGCAAACAACATTTAAGTATATTTTCTCTGATATTCTTTTAATTTTATGAAAAATCAACCATACTTTAACAATATAAAGTACAAAAATCCAATGGTGGTCAATAGTTTCCATGAAAATGAAGAAATGATTGCATTCTTGTTCAACAAAAACAAAAGTTTAAGCATATCTATCCTTCAAAAATTAACATTATATTCAAAATAACTTATCAGAAGGCATATTTAAAGGCTGATTGCAATTAAAGTTGCATTATTTGAAAAATGAGAAGAAATATTTGCATTTTAGGCAACGCGTACACAAATTTAGTGTCTTTTCCCTTAAATTCAGCCTATTTAATGAAAAACAACCAATCCTGATGTTCAAAAAGTACTGAAATCTTATGGCAGTTTATAATGTGTATTAAAACAAAGCAATAACTACATTCTTTTTAAAAAAAAACCAAACTTTGAGTATTTTAATTCTGATGAGATCTAAGTTCTTACATAAGACTTATATGAAGGCTTTTGAACTAACTAATTCCAAATAAAAAAGCATAATTTTTTATCAAAAGAAGAATAGTTTTGGTAAATTTGAACAATGCAAGCAATATTTTAGTATATTTTCTCTGATATTCTTTAAATTTTATGAAAAATTAACCAATCCTAAACAATATATAGTACAAAAATCCAATGGTGGTCAATAGTTTCAATGAAAATGAAGAAATGATTGCATTCTTGTTCAACAAAAACAAAAATTTAAGCATATCTATCCTTCAAAAAAGAACATTTTATTCAAAATAACTAAAACTTATCAACAGGCATATTTAAAGGCTGATTGCAATTAAAGTTGCATAATTTGAAAAATGAGAAGAAATATTTGCATTTTAGGCAACGCGTACACAAATTTAGTGTCTTTTCCCTTAAAAACAGCCTATTTAATGAAAAACAACCAATCCTGATGTTCAAAAAGTACTGAAATCTTATGGCAGTTTATAATAAGTATTTAAATAAAGCAATAACTGCATTCTTTTTCAACAAAAACCAAACTTTGAGTATTTTAATTCTGATGAGATCTAAGTTCTTAAAGAAGACTTATATGAAGGCTTTTAAAATAACCAATTCCAAATAAAATAGCATCATTTTTTATCAAAAGAAGAATAATTTTGGTAAATTTGAACAATGCAAACAACATTTAAGTATATTTTCTCTGATATTCTTTTAATTTTATGAAAAATCAACCATACTTTTACAATATAAAGTACAAAAATCCAATGGTGGTCAATAGTTTCCATGAAAATGAAGAAATGATTGCATTCTTGTTCAACAAAAACAAAAGTTTAAGCATATCTATCCTTCAAAAATTAACATTTTATTCAAAATAACTTATCAGAAGGCATATTTAAAGGCTGATTGCAATTAAAGTTGCATTATTTGAAAAATGAGAAGAAATATTTGCATTTTAGGCAACGCGTACACAAATTTAGTGTCTTTTCCCTTAAATTCAGCCTATTTAATGAAAAACAACCAATCCTGATGTTCAAAAAGTACTGAAATCTTATGGCAGTTTATAATGTGTATTAAAATAAAGCAATAACTGCATTCTTTTTAAAAAAAAACCAAACTTTGAGTATTTTAATTCTGATGAGATCTAAGTTCTCACATAAGACTTATATGAAGGCTTTTGAAATAACTAATTCCAAATAAAATAGCATAATTTTTTATCAAAAGAAGAATAGTTTTGGTAAATTTGAACAATGCAAGCAATATTTTAGTATATTTTCTCTGATATTCTTTAAATTTTATGAAAAATCAACCAATCCTAAACAATATATAGTAAAAAATCCAATGGTGGTCAAAAGTTTCCATGAAAATGAAAAAAATGATTGCATTCTTGTTCAACAAAAACCAAACTTTGAGTATTTTAATTCTGATGAGATCTAAGTTCTTAAAGAAGACTTATATGAAGGCTTTTAAAATAACCAATTCCAAATAAAATAGCATCATTTTTTATCAAAAGAAGAATAATTTTGGTAAATTTGATCAATGCAAACAACATTTAAGTATATTTTCTCTGATATTCCTTTAATTTTATGAAAAATCAACCATACTTTAACAATATAAAGTACAAAAATCCAATGGTGGTCAATAGTTTCCATGAAAATGAAGAAATGATTGCATTCTTGTTCAACAAAAACAAAAGTTTAATCATATCTATCCTTCAAAAATTAACATTTTATTCAAAATAACTTATCAGAAGGCATATTTAAAGGCTGATTGCAATTAAAGTTGCATTATTTGAAAAATGAGAAGAAATATTTGCATTTTAGGCAACGCGTACACAAATTTAGTGTCTTTTCTCTTAAATTCAGCCTATTTAATGAAAAACAACCAATCCTGATGTTCAAAAAGTACTGAAATCTTATGGCAGTTTATAATGTGTATTAAAATAAAGCAATAACTGCATTCTTTTTAAAAAAAAACCAAACTTTGAGTATTTTAATTCTGATGAGATCTAAGTTCTCACATAAGACTTATATGAAGGCTGTTGAAATAACTAATTCCAAATAAAATAGCATAATTTTTTATCAAAAGAAGAATAGTTTTGGTAAATTTGAACAATGCAAGCAATATTTTAGTATATTTTCTCTGATATTCTTTAAATTTTATGAAAAATCAACCAATCCTAAACAATATATAGTAAAAAATCCAATGGTGGTCAAAAGTTTCCATGAAAATGAAAAAAATGATTGCATTCTTGTTCAACAAAAACAAAAGTTTAAGCATATCTATCCTTCAAAAATTCACATTTTATTCAAAATAACTTATCAAAAGGCATATTTAAAGGCTGATTGCAATTAAAGTTGCATTATTTGAAAAATGAGAAGAAATATTTGCATTCAAGGCAACACGTACAAAAGTTTAGTGTCTTTTCCCTTGAATTCAGCCTATTTAATGAAAAACAACCAATCCTGATGTTCAAAAAGTACTGAAATCTTATGGCAGTTTATAATGTGTATTAAAATAAAGCAATAACTGCATTCTTTTTCAACAAAAACCAAACTTTGAGTATTTTAATTCTGATGAGATCTAAATTCGTAAATAAGACTTTTATAAATGCTTTTGAAATAACTAATTCCAAATAAAATGGCATCATTTTTTATCAAAAGAAGAATAATTTGGTTAATTTGAACAATGCAAACACCATTTTAGTATATTTTCTTTGATAATCTTTTAATTTTATGAAAAAAACAACCAGTCCAAAACTGTTAAAAGTACAAAAATCCAATGGCAGTCAATAATTTCCATGGAAAAGGCAGAAATGATTGCATTCTTGATCCAATAAAACAAAAGTTTGACATATGTATCCTTCAAAAAATCAAATCTTATACAGAATTACTTATCAAAAGACATTTTAAAGACTATTTGCAATTGATGTTGAATCATTTCAAATATGAGATGAAATATTTGCATTAAATTGTGTATCATTTCCCTTATATTCAGTCTATTTTTTTCTGAAGAACAACCAATCCTGATGTAGAAAAAGTATTGAAATCTTTTGACAGTTTATAATTTGTATTAAAATAAAGCAATAACTGCATTCTTATTCTACAAAAACAAAATTTTTATTTTTTTTTATTTCTGATTATCTTTTAATTCATAGAAAACACTTATCTCGAGAACATTACAATACATAATTATAAATAAGATTACATTACTTTTTATCAAATGAAGAAATTAAAGAAATTCAAAACAATAGTTAAAACAACACTTTTAATCAAGACAAACAAAGCTCTGAGCTTCTTTAATGTTATACTATTTTTACTTTTATCATCTAGTGACATGAATTGCTAGATATAGTACATATTTTAAATGATAACATTTTATCGCTTATGAGTGGTAAATAAGCATATCGTTAGTCTGCACTTATTTAATTTTTTAGCAAAATTTAAATTAAAGAATATGAAGATATACACATGATGTGTGAAAAGTAATTCATATTTATTTTTTTTTATTTGTTATTGCAACTTAGTTTATTACAACTAAACGAGTAAAGGTGTCTTCGTGGAGGTCAGTGTTCATCGAATGTAAACACTGTGGAGTTCGGTTTACATAAGAATTTTAAACATATACGTATCCGTCAGATCCGTGCATAAGATAAATCTACTGATCGATCGCTGACCGTTGTCACGGTAACTCTCACATAGCTTATTTGGCTTATCTGACGAATTCTATAGGTCACCGAGCAACGACTACTCATGGATCAGTCAAACATTCACGACAAACAGTAACATCCAAGATTGCAAGTAATGTACAACAGACCATTTTTTACAAAAAAAATAAGTTATTATTTGTCACGGTTATTAAATTTCGACATATGAAGGGAATTTCGGTTATTTCTAAAGATTAATTGTCAAATTGTATACAACAGACCGATATGAGACAAAATAAGGAGTAAGGGTGAGAGCAATTTAGGGAAATTGTGTCACTCCTAACTTATCATTCATGTAAAGAGAGAAAAAAGTTTCTAGTGCGGTGTTGTAGTCCACTTGTATTTTTGTTCATCTGATGATTTATGCCAATTTTAACTGATTTGTATAGGTTTTTCATATGTTGTACTTTAAAACCACTGTCCCAGGTTCGGGGGAGGAATGGGATCCTGCTAATATGTTTAACCCCACCCCATTCTGTATGTAAGTGCCTGTCCTAAGTCAAGAGCCTGTAATTCAGTGGTTGTCGTTTGTTGCTGTGTTACATATTTGATTTTCGTATACTTTTTGTACATATATAAGACCGTTAGTTTTCACGTTTGAATTGTTTTACATTGTCATTTCGGGGTCTTGTATAGCGTACTACGCGGTATCGGTTTTGCTCATTGTCGAAAGCCGTACGGTGACCTATAGTTGTTAATTACTGTTTCATTTTGGTCTGCAGTGGAGAGTTGTCTCATTAATAATCATACCACATCTTCTTTTTTTATTTACGAAAAGTGTTTTTATAAATATAAGTGTGATAATTGACCACGCTATGATATTGATATGTAAATGTATACTGAAGTATTGGTTTCAGAAATGATAAAAGTTTAACATTAACTATAATATAATGTTTTCGTAAATTAAACTTCAAGGATTAACCTTTAGTTTTCATAAGATTTACTATGTGTGCTTAATCAAATCAATGGACAAAGGCGTCGTTTTAAACAATTCTTAGAATGATTCTGATATAAAGGAGTAAATGCTTACCTTTCATGAAAATTTCTCCACAATGGTATTATAATTCAATCACAAGAAAAACACTTATCCGACGATCAACTAACCTTTAACAGAAGCGTTCTGTTAACTGCACATGCGCATACATAATTTGAATGTCAACAGCAACCTTTACCTAACATTCATTATAACCTTAACTTTTGGATTTTATCTTAACCTTTAAATAAAACCATCACCTTAACCTTAAATTTTAACCTTTAAACTTGAACAAGACTCGCTATCTGTATGCATTCACAAATTGTGTCATTAACAAATCCTGAAGTACATAATACTTACCTTTAACCGCCAAGGAAACTGGTCATATTCTCCTTGAAAATATGTGAATGTTACTTCTTCACCTTCGCTGATTGTTCTTGTAGCAAAGAAACAAAGATGGGGAAGACCACCGACAATTATTCTAAATAACAATAGAGTTACTATCATTCTCGTCATCGTTTACGAGCCTTCCCAAGGATTTGTCGTCAATAGATGCATCGATCCTAGATGGAAAGAACAACTTACTGTTAAACTGTAGCTTACTGATGCGAAGGTATCAAATTATTTAAGGTAAGGATTCTAGTGAATGGTAAAAGCTATAGGATTTAAGGTTATGGTCTAATGATAAGGTTAAAGATTAATGTTACAAGTAACTGGAAAGGTTAAAGATTAAGGTTAAAATTAACTGTTAAGGTTACAGATTAAGGTTAGAAGTAAATGTGAGGGTTAACGTCAATAGTAAATGTTAAGATTATAGGTAAAAGTTCAGTTTGAAGTTTGCTGTAAGTTAAAGGTAAACAAAAAAGTTATTGATCAGTGATAATTAACAGTCGGTGAAAGGTTTGAGGTCATTTTCGATATATTAATATACATCAATGTAGGAATCAGGCCAGAACTGGTTTTATTTCTGGTATCCTTGATTTTGATAAATGATGAGTTATAAATCAACTTAAAGAAATATATCTAAATAGCGTGATATTAATATAAAAGCAATATATTTTTTTCTATTTTACTAAAAAGGATCATTTATAAAGTCGACTCTATACGGAAAAAGAAATTGTGTGATAGAAAGGGGCAGATAATTGCAATTGAAATATCGAAGATTTTTGCAATTGCATGATTACCAAAATTCAAAAAATGAATAATCAATAAAAAAAAACAACGTATTGAATTCCTTAAGGTGGTATGGGAGTCTAAAATGAAAGGATAAAATTCGCTCACTTTGCCAAAACCTACTGTATATTAATATCTGTTCCAAACTATACTAAAAACGATAGGTCACCGTGCAATTTATCAAGCTACAGGTTGTGGCACATTGTGTATGGCGTATACGGGTAATAACATCAGTATGCGATTAGAAGCTACACTACTTGATAGAATTGTAAAATAAAACACAAAAAGATAGCATCAAGACAATGATTTGAGAATATCAAAAGAAGGGATAAAGTCACCGTACGTTTTTTTTCCGGCTAAAATACGAAATAGGAAAATTCCATGTAGATCTTCAGAAAAGTGCACTTTTTCCAGAGTTACCTTCCATTCAAATGGCATTTGTTAAACCAAAATTAATCTACACTTGCGAAAGTGTTAATACTTATAATCATTATCTTATAAACGTTTTTTTTTCAAATAACAGTTCACATTTAGTTATCTGCATTTTTGCATCAAATTTTGTTAACTTAATTAATAGAAACTAGACATTTGGTTCACTGATTTTTTACAATCCAAGATGGCGAAATACGCCCATACCACCTGTATGTCATTTACGTGTTCTAACCGCTACTATATGGTTTTGAAGTCTACAAGAAAAAAAAAAACATTTTTCATCTAGCATAAAAAGTTTTAAACTTACCAACATTTTCTTGAATTCCAAATAAACTCGAATGCGTACTCGTTGAAGCCTGGATCAACTGTTGTTAAATTTCCGCGATATTCGAACATAAACTCGCCTTTTTCAAACTGTTTTGTCGTAAACACACCTCTTCCTTTTATAAAGTTAAACGACAAATATACACATCAAACAGCTCAAAACATTTTAAACTACATAACGATGATTGATTGATTAAGTAAAATATAATATTAATAAATATGTTGTTAGTAAACTATATTTTTTTCGAAAAAGAAACCATTTTAGAAAATATTTTCATCACAAATACTTAAATACTAATACTAGTGAACATGTATAATTTGAAATTTATTGTTTTCAAAATTTTTAACAAAGTATGAAGAAAAAAATATTCACCGCATGTTTATGAATTTAATGCATATTAAAATAAAAAAATAACCTTTTTTTAAAGACCAAATTGAGAAAACAAAACTTGAAATACAATGCATGCTTGTAAAAGGTACCGCAAATGAAGAGAGATTGAAGATACAAAAATCATTCGTAAGTAAACTTTTCTAAAACACCTATCCAGGTATTACAATGAAACAACATATTAACACGCTGAAAAAACAAAACAGTTTACGCATAAGTTCTAAATAAACAGAATAACTAGTATTTACCTTTTATGTCGTCAATCTTTCTTACCAAAAACCCTTGTCGATCTGATTTACTATTTATGTAATCTTCAATTTTTAATATTCTTCTATTTGATCTTCGCAAATCTACAAATTTCAGAATTATATCATTAATGCACTCATTCAAGTTGTATAAATAAGACATTTTAGATAGTCGTCACGGTGCTTGGACTCTTAACATATATTAATATATTATTACGCCTGTTATTTAAGTTTGATACATTCATTGCCAAGGTGTATACATCGTGTACATAATACTTGTATCTTAATTTCAAAAATTGACACTCCGAGTTTCACATTTCTGATAAAAGAAGGACGAAAGATACCAAAGGGTATCAACTGAAAACAAACTGACAACGCCATGCCTAAAATAAATAGACGAATACACAAAAAAATAGTACAGAATTAAGCGTTGATAAGCGTTGTACAGAATTCTTTAAAATAATGATAACTGCATTCAATTCGGGTAATGTAGAACACCCACAGAGACCAGACAATCTATCTATGCTCAAGCGAAAAGTCGGCTAATTCGGAGTTAGTTAAATAATAATATCTTTCGTTGGCACAGAGAACTTGCCCTATTTATCCGGAATGTCGACTGAAAAGTGTTTAAAAACAAAACATTTTCATACAAAATTTGGTCTCAATTTGTGAATAAAAATACCAAATGCCTGCGTCTACTAATTTGATATCCATTAGTAAGACATACGAATGTTACTTACCTGGTTTAACTAATTTATAATCCATAACACAAAATATATAGAAGTGTTCTTTCTACTAATAACTTCCTATAATTCGACAGTTTGCACACGCACCCTTACCAGGTGTACATGCGCAAAGATGAAATTTTGATTTCAAGCTTAATCTTGTCTTAAACTTAACTGTAACCATAATGTTTACCTTTGACCTTATTCACAACCCTAACCCTTTACCGTACAAAAATTGTCCTTCAATCAACCTTAAAATTAAACTACTATGATATACCCTAAAATTGACATTAACCTTAACCTTTTCCTTACCTTTAACCTTAACCTTAACCTAAACATAAACCTTCACTTTCTCTAACCTTGAATTAACATTAATAGATATAAGAAGATGTGGTATGTGGTTAACATTAAGGCTACCTCAACTATGAACATTAAGGTTAAAACATACCTTCACTTTAACCTTTACCTTAAGCTTAACATTACCATTATTGTTAACCTAAACCTTAACTCTTTTTTATCTTCAATTAACCTTAAAAAAGAGAGACGAACGATATCAGAGGGACAGCCAAACTAATAGATCGAAATTGAATTGAAAACGATATGGCAAAATAAGAAAAACACCAACAGACCAATAATAGTTCACATAAGGGTACTTCCACCTTTAATCTGAATTTATAACTATTAATGAATCCTCAATAAATCATGAGGTTAAAACATACCTTAACCTTTACTTAAACAATAAACTTAACTGAAACTTTGACATTTTGTAACCTTCAATTAACTTAAAGGCTTCCTCAATTTTAAAACTCAATTTCAATCGTTAATCTAAATTTTCAAATACCAATCATCCTTCAGCGGGGTTCAGACAAACCTTCAATTTAACCTTAAACTAAATTTTAACTTCAACTATAATCTTAACTTTTACATTAACCTTAACCTTAACCTACACCTTAACCTTATCTATCATTGAATTAACCTCAAGGCTACCGCAACCTTTCATCTGAATTTTCAACTACCAATTAACCATCTATGAACATTAAGGTTAAAAATCACCTTCAATCTTATCTTAACCTTAACCGGAACTTAATTTTTTAACCTTGAATTTACCTGTACCTTAAATATGAATTGTCAACAAACCAACTAACCATCAATCAACGTTAAGGTTAAACAATAACTTAATATCTTAACCTGAACAGTAACCTTATCTTAAAATTACCCCTTGCAAATGAAATTCCAAAGGCCATGACTAGTATTCAAAGGCTTCCCAAAGTACTTGACCAGTGATAAGCCAGAAAAAAACGATAAACCAACTTCAATAGCAAGAAAATCACCCTATGGCAAATTACCCAAAAGAGTTTGATATTATGTGAGCATCACGCAGGGATGCCAAAAATGTATGCTATTGCTTATTATAAAGCTAAGGTACCCGGTTACCTTCCTACATCCATTATTTGGACGATCGTAAGACAAAACACTATTTTTTCGACTGCTACCCTTATATCTAGGTGCAAAACAGTAGTATTTTACATATTGACCCAGGACCTTTTAACCCTATAGACTAAGTTTATTTTGTTATAGGTTCAAACAAGGTGTAAATATCATGGCAAAGGTCGCTCTAGCTAGTAAAATCAGTTTCAGAAGTCCTTCGTCTCGTGTTAAGACAGAAAATTACGATGAAACAATACCAAAGCCAAGAAAATTATTATATAAGCAACAACCAATAAGGGTTTATATCATTCCTCGAGCACCCCGCGGACATGGCATATCAGTATATCAAATATCTTTACAACGCCAACGGTCCAAATTGCCTGCTTGAATCCTAGTAACCATAAGTTTTACAATCGTAAAGCAAGACATCATTTCATTTCTACACCAAGAACTAAATCGAGTACCCAGCCGCAAACAATGACAATACCGACCCCGAATCTTTTCACTATATATACCACGTCGGCCATTTTATATGGGTATATAATAGCTCATACGAACGCTGATAAGGTTCATGTTGCCTACATACTTCCTTAGTTGTCAATACTTGTACGAGCATAAGACAATAAAGCTATTAATTCGACCCATGTTTGGATGTCTGCTATCCAACCGCAAATATTGTCATAACCGATGCCGGATCTATACCATACAGATCAAGCCGAGCCTATTTTAAATAAAACAAGGTGCAAATACAGTCCCTCAGA